ATGAGAAAATGTACGTGTTTGCCTTTTGAAAAGTTAAGCCAGCTCTACAACTGTCAGGCCCTATCACTTTGGGATGCTCTCTTATAAAGCTGGTCCCTGAGTATGTGCTCGCCAATCATCACATCCTCTCTTTCCGGCTATCTTTCCTCCACACATGGAGCACTTCACTCAACTCCAACTTAAACATCACAGACAAAGCAAAGATAAGCAGTAAGAAAATCCAAATGTGTTGGCAATACCACTGCATGTTAAAAAGAAAGAACTCGATTCACATTGAACTCCGTTTTCGTGGTGCATAACTCCCCTTTCCATAGGTCCTATTAACATCAAAGGGAGCTCCGTGCATGTAAATGATTGTATTTATTGGATGCGCCAACTCCTTCTTATCCTCCGGGCACAATTAGAAATATCATAGGAAAATGAATGTCAGAGACTTGGATCCATGTTTGATATTCTATGGGAAATTTCCCATCGTTACAGATGTTAAAAAGCCTGCCCAATGGTCCAGTTACCAATTTGTAGTATTTCTTCTATCATCCCTGGAATTATTTTTTTCTCTGACTTTAGAATATTCTTTTTTACATTAAAGGAAAAAAATATTCTCTTTAGCTCCAGATAAGCTAGTGATAACATCTGGGCTTGTTGTGCAACTTGGTATAGTCATACAAACTTAGATGGTGCAGTCCCTCTCCTGCAGTGAACTGTGGTTGCTTCCCTGAGATGGTATCATTAATACTAAGAGCAATTTTGTTCCTACTTCAGATTCTCTCTAGGAACTGCTACTTGAGGCAGTGTCTAGGAACTAAATTCCTGGATGCCCAATTTAATATTATACCCACTAAACCATGCTGCAATTTCAGTGTTCGTTGTAAATTCAGGCCATTATCAATATCCTTGTTAGCTAGCTATAAACTCAGGTTTTCTGTAGGTGAAATCCTCACCATCAGGGAAAACAGCAGGTGTATGGAGACCTGTACTTTTCATACCGATTTGTAGTTTGTTCTTTTTAAATTCAGTTGTCTCATGGCTGTTGGTGGAAATGTCTCTAGAACTAATTCGGACAAACCGCTTGACATCCTCACCCCGTCCTATTAGTGAATGTAAGGGCCTTGTGGGTGTTGTGGGCGTGGTTCCTCAGCAGTGCTATGAATATTATACACCCAAGACAGCAGGTTAACTCTTCAACTGTATATATTTTTTTTAAGTGACAAAAAAGGAGAAAGGTGGAGGAAGCCCCTCAAAGGAAATATTTAGAACTCTGATGAAAGAGAAAATGTCCACTATTAAGTGATGAAAACCTTCACTGGAAATGTACCCACATGAGATGGGTGGTGTGAAAGATACAAAGATTTTTTTAAAATAATATTTTGTTAAGCAAGATAATAATAGAAAAATAATTCTAACTAGCCTTCTATGCAAACAAATAAGACCATATGCACAAGTAATTTGGCTCCACTTTGAATTATTTGTAAGAAATAAGTACGCCAAGATAGTCTCATTTTAGTAAATATTTATAGAGCCAAACAATCCAAAGTATATATATATATAGCAATCACATGTCTAGTGAAAATGTGTGTAAGTAGGTTTATTTTGAAAGGAAAAGTCCTACTCCCAGTGTCATAACCAATTAAATTCTCCAGGTAATGACCCCATTTGCATAGTGAGCGGAACCCACAAGTGGGAATTTTAATGGGCACACCACCTGAGTACAGTAATTGAGAGTGACACAACTTGAACTAGTTTTGTGCTTACCCCACTGAAAATTCGACTCATATTATTTTTAATGTCAAGCTACAAGTCAAATTTCAAGATGATGGATTTGTTCTTTTTTGAGCAGTAAGTTTGAATAAAAGAAATGCTTTAATTCGGTTATGCCTTGCATATCTTTGCTTTAACTAATCTGTAGTTCTGATTCTCACCATTGCTTCATTTTCTTTGGTGATTGGAATTTAATTTTATTCATTAATTTGTGAATAATTAGATCAAAAATAATGTCCTCAAGCAGCCAAATTGCTTCAGGATTGCAGTTTAATGGACTTCTACCAGAATATGTATTATAGTTACGCTGGCGTAAGAGTTTACAAAAGTGTAATTGTGTAAATATGACCGATTATTCTTTCTGATGATCCAACAAAATCTAATATAATATGTATTCGTGGACGTTTCCCTCCTCTTTCCCCTCAGCATCAATAAAAACGCAGTTCCTGCAGAGATGATCACAGATGCCTTGTCATCTGAAGGTGTTACTTTTAAAAGATATTCTCCTTATCTCTCAGGTACTATTCATGTCCTTGAAAGAACTGTGCATTTGGACTGAGGGATCGTATGACGTCCACGTTAAATTAAATAATAAAGGTGATCTCAAGACTCTGAGAATCAGACACACATGATGAACTGTGCTTTCTAGGTTTTGAGATGACATTTTAAAACTTCTTTTGTTTCACTCGAAGATGGCTTGAGATCCTAACTATTTGTAGGTGTCTGACACCACTCCGCCACATCTGTAATTGGCATAGCATCCAGCCGACAGGCTCTGTACATCTTTACACTGCAACCTACCAAGTTAAGAAATGTATTGGTTCAATATAAAACAGCAGGCTGTTTTTAGACATAGTTACTAGTGCACAAGCTTTAATATGGCTTAGCTTCATCCTATAATGAGATCTTTTGGTTCCCTGCTCAACTGGCTTTGATTCCTTTGCAAAAGGCTATGAACTATGTCAAGTGGATCAAGCTGCCTTTGTACCCCCTCTTTCTTGGCTTTGGAACGTCATTCCTTTGCTTCTGCCCTTTATGCATCAGACAGAACTTAAGAACCTTTTCAGTGTTTCAAGCTAAACTTAGAATTGGTTTGAATTTGCTTTTCACTATTTTCCTAATAATTACATTCTCCACTGAACCTCAAACAAAGACCTGCCTGGAAGCGAGCACTTAATTGCAGAGCTGTATTTTGTCTTTAACACGGGTATCTAGACCCCATGTTGCTCATGTGTCGAGGGATGGTTATCTGAAGTGATTTCTTCATGGTGACCTCACAAATAAATTCAAGATTCTCTTTTAGTGAGTATTGGGGTGAGAGGGCATGAATAATGGACAAGCAAACAGTAGAGCTAGAACTAGTAGCCCCGGTTCAGTTGGAAGGCAGGAAATTACTCATGTTGACATTTGGTGACTTAGCAGCAACGGTCCCTGCCCCAGTGGAAAGCGTCCCAGTGTTGTCCCAGTGTGATGAAGAATAAGGTGGGGCAGATTTCTACTCGCTTTTGTGGGGGTGGGGGTGGGGGAGCGGCGCTTGTCTGTGGCTTTGCTTATAATCCTTTTCAGCTCCAGATCGCCTGTGGACTTCATTCAGATTTGATCATTTGGATGCTGTTTTGATTTAGTCCTTTAAAGCTGAGGGTGCAGCCATTGTTCACTGGGAATTTTGCACTGTGACAATGCATGGTGGATTTAGTCACCAAAGAGAGTTTTTGCATAAACCATCCTCCACGTTATGGCTAATGTTCTCTCCTTTCCACAGTCCCTTCCATTTTAACCAAAATCTCTAAAAGTAATCTTAAATGAGCAAGCAGATGTTAGTAGGCTCACTATTGGAACTAGCAGTTTTCTCTTGGGAAGCGTCAAACTCCCCCCAGGTGGAAGCTTCCTGAGGGTTCTGTGACTCCCTGGAGAGGCTTACAGATAAGTCAGTGTAAGTTTATTGGTTATAGTGGGGCATGGAGATGAAGGGCAGTAGTACCCAATCCTCGATTTTAAACTACAGCTAGTAAGTGTGGAATAAACCCTATCCAGATATTAACTGCTATTGAAAACAAAAATGGTTTGCTTTCCTACATTAGTATTAAGAGAAGCGAAAAATGGATATTTTGTAGTACTTGATGAAATTTTACCTTGCCTGTCTGATTAGATGAAATAAACCTACAGGCTTATAAATCACAAGTAATTGGAAAGGGCATAAAGGTCTTGAATAATTTGAAAAATAATCTTATTAATAAACTTATGCATTAGGTGGTTGGGTAAATCTAAGAATTAAAACTGGAATTCAAGAAGGCAAGCCACTGAGACTCTGGACTCGAGTCTTATTTCTGTGAGGCAGTGACTTTGACATTTATAACGTTAGAGTCTAGGGCACTGATAGAGTTTATATGGATAAAGAATCAAATGTTATTACATAAGGTTGCCTTGGTTACTCCTTGAACTTGGTCTAGAGAAACACTGTTTCAGGTGAGAAAACTAGACAGACTCAGCATACTGTAAGAACACACACAAATTATTATATTCCTAAATAAAAATAAGAAGCCGTCTCCAAAATAAAGTGATTTAGCTTAAAATAAACAAATGGTTATCTGGCTTAAAATCTGAGTTAAGAAAATCACTTTTTAGCAACCTACATACAGAGAAGTAGTGAACTTTATTATATTAGACAAATTCATTTTGTTTAAAAAAAATGTGGAGAATTTAATTCATCCGGTGTTCTGATCCTAGTACAGTGTTTCTCTCTCAGCATCATGGGGGTTAAATACTAAAACATTTACTATAAACTTAAACATTGTGCTGCTAAAAATCCTAGTTGATATTACTTCTGACGATTTACTTTTGGGTGAAATTCATTAAATCTAATTAAGACACAATTCCATAGGTCTTTTGTGTTTAACCTCAGCATACATATATAAATATTGCCTTAGTTTTTGGACTGTGGGAGATAACTCCAAAACAAACAGATAAAAGGAAATACTAAAAAAAAAAGAAAGGTATGAAACGTGGATTTTTACCTATTGTGAATTTTTAAAAGAAAACTGTTTTGAAAAATCGTAAGTTAACTGTGATTTGCAGTATAAAGTGATATGAATCTTTCACAGTTCATTTATGGACATGAGTCATGTGATTTACACAAGGACACTAGGAAATCTTCAGAAGGGGATGTAACAACAAAAAGAAACCTCAGGTTTTAAATTAGAGTTGAATTTGTTTAAATATTCATATATCAGTTAGACAGAAAATATGCTAAAGGACAACAGAGAAGTCATTTTTTATTTCAAAATAATATTCAGGATAATACAGGTCCAGTTTAAAAATATTTAAGATTAAGTTTCCACATTTAAAAGGAGACCAAATCTATAACTGTAAACTACAGCACTTAGTCATGACAGCCAGGAGTCAACAAAACATTTTACACACAGAAATTCTAAAATATATATTGAAACTACTTTCACATTTGCCTACTTTTGTTTTCTTCATTTATTTTTTAAAAATCATACAAGGTGCTTTATGGAATGACTGCAGAGTAGACAATAGTGGGAAAGTACACTGAATATAAATACGAAAATAAAATTCTGCTATCAGTGAATGCTCTCTGTTACAGAGAAACATTATTTTAAAAGTACTAATACCTTCACTGCAACTAGTAGCAGAATACACTTAAATATTAGAGAAACCATTTGGCTGAATACGTTGGCAGGACAAAAAGGATGTTTTAATGATTTCAGGTCATTAGAAGGCTTTATATGTCAATACAAAGTTAATACTCTTACATCCTAACATATATGCGTAAGTTAACTTTAGGTATATGTAAATATTCAGATTCTGCCTACTCTGAAATAGTAGAAAGGTGTTCTTCTGTTTCATTTGTTACATCAAAGACACTCTTTAGACAAGGAAGAGAAAGACAGCTGTTTACTAGAATTCTATTTAAACCCAACAATTTAACTGTGTGTGTGTGTGTGTATGTGTATGTAGAGTACTGAAAAGGGGATTCAAGAGTCTGCTAGCTTTTTTCTTTTTTAAGCCCTTTAAGTAATGATATAAGCAGAAACTAGGTTTCATCTCAAAGGAGAAATGATCAGTGACATACCCATGCTTGAGGTTTAAAATCGTTCTTAAAAGCCTTTGTTTGTTTGTTGAAAGGCTTCCTAAAAACATGCATTTGTTTTTACTATCAACTTGGTGCTCTGGAAGAACTGAAAATTACTATTAATCCAGAAGTATACTCTCAAAATTTCTGGAAGAAATTACATTAAATCAGGCCAAACTACAATCTGGGGAGCTCAAACTTAGTAGGAGAGCATGGAGTATGAAAATCTACTCTCCTCGGCACCACACAATGTCTCTGTGTCTTAGTAACTCTAGTAAGTCTTGCAACTGATTTATTTCTTTACACTTAAGAATCTTTATGACCTGCCATATTGGTTTAATTTAATATAAAACTACAATACTGAAACTTGGTCATAGTCGTGGATGTGAAGATTCTCACTCTCACTGCATTGGAAGGAGTGGTTTCCATTGAAGACTGTGTTTATAAAATAGAATGTTTGTTTTCTTTCTGATTTGTTTCTTAACCAAACAACCCATGAAAAAAGACTTAAAGCTCTCCATAAAGAAAAAAAAAGGAAAGCTTTTGAACAAATCAAAATCAATGCTGGGATTTTAATATAAAAACATCTCCGAATTTAAATGCAGTTTATGAAAAGTATTCCACATTCTTTATAAAATATAGCTATTTTAATATAGCATTCTATTTTTATCAAAACTTCAGCATAACATCTAAATTATATGTGAAAAATGCGTATTTTTAGTTAATTTAAATTTTATAGTTTCAAAAATGGTGTACAGCTTCAACTAAAGAAACTACATATGGAAGGCATTTTTCTTGTAACTGCTTAAGGGCACACGCAGCTCAGACTGGCCACCTAAAACCTGGTCCTAAAGCTAATTCATCCCAGCAGCAGATGAATCACTCCTCCTCAGAGGCCGCCTCAAATGCCACATTCTCCTTGAAGCTTTCTGAATATTCCAGTAGACAGGAGCTGTTCTTTTCGGTGTATTCCTGCAGCCTTTTGAGGTCCTCTGTCTCATCAGCCTCACTTCAGTATGCCTTGTGGACTGGCTCACTCTTTACAGGCCTCTCGTCTGCTAACCTGTGCATGCTCCTCTGGATGGGAGCTGGATGACAGGCCTCTCTGCGGTGCAGCAGGAGATGACAGACAGTAGGCGCTCAGTGTCTGATGACCGGGGGAGGACAGGGAGGTCAACACTGGGTCCCAACGACCGTGTGGGCATGTTTCCCAAAGTTTACTTTCAAGAATGCTTACTTTTAACCATTATTAATCATCAAACGAAAATTGAGTTAAATACCCACTGAGATGTAAGATATTTGGAGCAAGAGGCTCCTAAGCATGGTTAAAAGAAATAGAAATAAGTATAAAAGGAAAGAACCAGTTTTTTCTTTGTTTTCTTTTTCTTCTCCCCCTTTTTTTTAGTGAAAATGTCCCTCAGTCATTAATCGTAATTTATTAAGTTTAAAAGTAGTTAAAATTTCACATATTAAACCATGCAGATTTGGTTAGAAGAAAAAAAAGGCATTCAGAGATTACTAAAAATAATGAGTTAACAGTGCAAATCCTGGGTTGTTAGATGAGACTTACCATGTGCTTTTCTTCCCCCTTAAAAGAAAAGTTTTAAAACACTCTCCAGTTTTAACACAAATGGAAGATAAATATTTATGAAGGAAAACAAATTCCACAGCATTCCATACAGATTTCCAAACAGTCCGACGATTCGCAGCAGGCATCCATGATGCCGCAGTCCATGTCACAGGGGCAGTTACAGTCGTCTCCCATTTCATCTCCGCAGCAGCAGCAGCAGGCCTCGGAGGTGCAGATGCCACACGAAGCTTGTCCCAGGACAATATTGCAGAGGGTCAGGAATTCACAGAACAAGCAGGCCAGGATACAGTGGACACAGCAGTCTTCATTTTCAGTTGGGAGGAGACCACATTGTCAGAAAAAGAAGGGACACAAAATAGATAAATCATTAATGTACTGAATAATAAGAATTGGTGAAAACAGTTCAGTAATCCAGAACCTAATAGCTTGCAGTCTCAGAAATCTTTTGTGGACAGGAAGCTCAAAAAGAAACAAGTTAAATTTCAGACAAGCAGTCTTACGAAGTAGACACTGCATTTGAAAAACAAACAAACAAAAAAGATGGTAGTTGCGTGTGCGCGCACGCGTACGCTTGGGGTGAGAGTATTACACACACTAGGCAGGAGTAGCAGTGGGGTCTTAAGTCCTAGGTTCCACTTCTCTGTGCCTCTCATCCATCCTCCCTAGATCCTGCTGCTCTCTGTAAAATGACTCCACGACATCAAAGTACTTCAGAAAACAGAAATTTCCTTCAGTTCCACCCAGCTGCTCCAAAATTGCAAGGAAAAATTTAAATATGATATATTCAATGTATTACTGAATAATTCAGTCAACAGTTAAATTGGAATCCATTAAATGTGGATCAACATTTTTATTTTCCATTAAAACTGACTCAATTTCATGATCTCAAATTTTTTCGGTTTCACCAGAATTAAAGAAAAACAGTGAGACTCTTTGGTTCCAGTCATTTTTTCTGAAACAGTTCTTCTGCCTATTTCTAACAAAAGGATTTGTAACTTAGCAGATGTGAATAATGACACAGTAACATTACCTTCCCACCTCCTGTGTGGCAAACTACTTTACATTTCTGATATTTCCTGATACATCTCTAAGGATGCCTCTCTAAACAACAAACTTCATAAACTGATATAAAAAGTGAGAAATCAAAAAGATTACAATCTAATAAATTTAGTATACCATATTTTAAACTTCTTTCCTTCAGAATTTTGGGAAAGAGGAGAAGTTGAAGAAAATTTCTATTTCTGGAGGACTTAAAACACATGCAATAAAATACTTTAACACCAATGTTATAAGACATTTGACCAACTTGAGAAATGTTTGTCAGTTTTTACTAGGATTATTTCAGGGTTTGTGTTTATTCTTTTTCTTTTTAAAAAAAACTTGTACAATGCAAGCTTTAAGGAGGGGATTCTGCCTCCAACAACAGCAACTGTACAGAACAATCTCTATCCCCATCCCACTGTCACATGATTTGTGTGTTTTCTGTATTTGGCTTTAAAACTGAGTGCCTTTGATGGACGTTCATCAAATTGTGTATTGCATCATAAACTCCCCAATTCCTTGAACATCCCCTAGTTTCCCTGTAGTCTCTAACTTTGTAGAGAATCCATAACTCTGTAAAGGGGAAATGTGGAAATACATACATACATGGCAAAAAGTGGGGGTGAGGTTAGAAAAGAACTCAAAAAGAAAACTTCAGACTTGTTTGGAGAATGAAAGGCTAAAAGAACACATCAGTCTTTCCTTCCATTCTTCTCAGTGCCCAGCCCTTTCTCACATACAATGGTCTATGGAGCAGCTGGAAGAAGATCACAGAGTTGGAAGTCTGTGGGTTTCTCTCCCTCTTCCCCTAATGTTTTTAGTAGTACAGTGGTCCTCCCTTATTACAGGGTATAGGTTCTAAGACCCCTCGTGGATGCATGAAACCTCAGATAGTACAGAACTTGCTCTATTTTTTTTTTACATGTATACAACCTGTGATAAAGTTTAATTTACAAATTGGGCAATGAGAGTAACAATAACTAGTAATAAAATAGAACAATTATAACAATATTCTCTAGTAAAAGTCATGTGAATTTCTCTTAATATTACTCTCTCAAAATTCTCTCTCTCAAAATATTTCTACAAATTTAATGCCTTTTCCATCTTAACTATGCACTTATCATGCACTGTGGCTGTAATTTTTGCATTTTGAGGTGTGACAGCAAAACTATCACTAATTTCTTTTTCCTTCTTCCCAGCTTCACAGATAGACTATTCATTCTTAGCGTAGATTTCAGCAATCTCAGCATACATTTTCTTTTTCCTTATTAAGTTGAGAATGTTCACCTTTTCACTTAAAAGAAGTACTTTACAGCTTTTCTTTGGTGTATTTTTAATTGCAAGCATCACTATTCCTGCTCTTTGGAGCCAGTGTTATGTAAAATAAAGGTCACTTGAACACAAGTACTGCAATGTCACAACAACTGGTCTGGTAACCAAGGTGGGCTACTAAGTGACGAACAGGTGGGATACACTGGACAGAGATGATTTATGGTCTGGGTGGGATGGAGCAGGACGTCACAAGATTTCGTCATGCTACTCAGAGAGGCCTGCAATTTAAAACTTAGGAATAATATATTTCTGGAATTTTCCATTTAATATTTTGAGACTGCAGTTGACTGTGGGTGAATGAAACTACAGAAAGAAAAACCATGGATGGGAGGGGTACAACTCTATCCAACCATATCAGAATAACAGTGAAATCAACTACATGGATCCAAGTTCATAGCCTTGGAAAGTTCTGGGTTTCTACAGAGTATCTGTAGTTTCCCTCTTTCTACATTCTTCCTATAATTAGGTATTTATCCTAATACCTTATATGTCTCTGTTTAATAGAACTTTTCCAGGATTGTATTTTAATCATGATGTATAAAATATCTGAAATGTTATAAAAAGCTAGCTTTATTATTTTTATTACTATTAAGAAAATTGTGTTCAACTGGCAGCAAGCCAGTTCTGTTCAACACGCCTTCAAACAAATACCCATATTAATTAATTCTAATAACATGTCTAACCTTAACTTTGTATTCCACTGTGGAATGCTTTTATTTCAAGACTGAGAGAGAGAACCTACAAAACTCACTTGGCATCAAGGAACCTTTAACTGAATATTTTTAAAACCCTAAGTATAGTTACTGAGCATTAGATTCTTTATGTATTAACCACAAAATACATTAAACATAGAAGTATATGTAATGGATCTATTAATTTTAAAGGAGAAAGAATGGCCTCCCTACCTAGCCTTAGAAATAGAGGGTTACAGTATCTTTGAAGCTTCCTTTGGTCCCTTTCTAAGTACATCTTCCTCTTCTAAGATATAATCACTGTCTTGAATGTTGAGTGAATCTTTCCCTTCCTTTTCACTGTACTTTTTATAACAGTGAATATGTAAATATCCCTACATAATTGATCAGAAAGGAAATGGTATCATATGAATTCCCATGAGTAGCATTTTTTCCTTAATATTATGTGTTCCAGATTTACCCTTGTTGATTCACGTAGCTAAAGTTCACTTATTTTCCAGATGTATAGTACTCTGTTGATTTAATACACTATAATTTATTTATCCATCCTACTTATGAATACTTTGGTCATTTTCATTATTTTGCTATTCCAAACAGTAATATCTGAAACAGTTTGTACAGGTCTCCTAGATCACACGTGCTAAATAATTATCAATAGACTCATCGGACGACAGGATGTGCATATGTTTAATCTAGTTAGGTAACAGTAAATTTGTTTCCAAAGTGATTGTTCCAGAATTTACTCCCACCAACCAAGTATGCAAATGCCTGTTGTTCCACATCCTCACCAGTCTTTGAAACTGTCATATTTTCATATATGCCAATTAGTTGAGTGTGAAATTACATCTCATGGTAGTTTTACTTTGCATTTACTTGTTTACTAAGAAGCTTGAGCATCTTTCCATGTTGGCCATTTGTGCTTCCTCTTCTTTGAAACAGGTATTCATGTTTTTCACTCACTTGTCTATTGAATTGCCTGTTTTTGTTTTTTTTTTCTTACTGATTTGTAGAAGTTCTTCCTGTAGTCAAGACCTCTGTCCTTTGTCAAATGTGATTGTCTTCTCTATGTAGCTTTTTGTACTTAAAATAACAAGAGACAGATGAGTTGATGTTTAGACCTTAGAGTTTGAAGGGATGAAAAGAAACCTAAATCAAATCGTGTTTTTAGCTGGAGATACGGGATTATATGGGTGAGGAAATAAAGTGGCAGATAGACAAGTCTGGCAAATGAGTCAGTGAAAAGAAGAGGAGGCAGCATTAACAAGATGCAGCAGCAGAAGGAAATAAAGAGTTCTAGTGTCTGATTCAAAACAAGTGGACTCCAGCCACTCCGACATACAGAAAGGGAGGAGAAACCAAGAAGCAATCAGGAAGGAGAGACAGTGTGAAATGCTGTAAAATCGAGGCCCTCAGAATGAGAGTGATATTTCCAACTAACCAACTCATTGCCGCTCATAGAAAATACTCATTTGAGAATCAAAATCTCTTCCAGATCTTAAACAATGAGAATTGTCATACAAGAATCAGAAGACTTCAGCCAAGAATAGAATCTCTCCAGATTCCTTTTAGCCAAAATCTACCTAGGAAGTCAAGTCAGTTAGTTCTTAGCACTAAATAGATGAAACACTTCTTTTCTAGACTATCTTCTATAATGGAGTGTAATTTCTTTCTTTTTTTTTTTAATTGAAGTTCAGTTAGTTACAATGCGTCAATTTCTGGTGTACAGCACAATGTCCCAGTCATGCATATACATACATATGTTTTCATATTCTTTTCCTTAAATGTTATTACAAGATATTGAACATAGTTCCCTGTGCTGTACAGCAGAAATTTTTTAAAATCTTATTTTTTATATAGTGGCTAACATTTGTAAATCTCAAACTCCCAAATTTATCCTTTCCCACCCGCTTTCCTCAATAACCGTAAGATTGTTTTACTGTCTGCCAGTCTGTTTCTGTTTTGAAGATGAGTTCATAGTGTCTTTTTTCTTTTTTTGATTTATTTCTTTTTTTTTAGAGTGATACCATATGGTATTTTTCTTTCTCTTCCTGGCTTAGTTCACTTAGAATGACAATCTCTAGGTCCATCCATGCTGCTGCAAATGGCATTATTTTATTTTTTATGGCTGAGTAGTATTCCACTGTATAAATACACCACAGCTGCTTTATCCAGTCAACTGTCAATGAACATTTAGGTTGC